TTTCTACTTCCCTGATTTTGAGCAATATGGTGAAATCACTGGGAATCTTAACCTGTGTCATGCAGAAATGTGACAGGTCCTCGCCTACTTTTGAAGAAAACAGGAGAGGTTATGTGGCAGTGCCTGTGAACCTGGGGACAACCCAGGGACGCCTCTTGGGATTTGCAGCAGTCTCACTGGTGTCCTGGGCCCACTGAGGACCGTTGTGCTTCATACCTCAACTGCCTTTGCTGTCCAAAGAGCTGGATGTTGTGTGCAAACAGCACCTGAACGTCACAGCATCTCTCTCACCTGGGGGTTGTTCTCTCTGACATGCTGCTAGGACTTTACAGTAGGCTGTGTGCGCATTGACATTTGGAGGGCCGAACGTCCTGGTGGGCGCAGGAACATACACGTGGGAGGCCAAGTACCCCCTGGGAATACCTTTAGCAGTAACCAAGGAGCCTGCTCTCCTTATGCTTCTTGACATCACCTGAAATCTTCAGAGGCTCTTCATATTTAGGTGCTAGAACAAACACAACGATAAAAATTGCCAGTAAAACCCCACAACAATGAAGTGGAGGCAGTGAAAACTGCAGAATGTGAACTCTTGTACCTGTGGAAAACTAAAGGGGGAGGAGAAAGGGCAAGAAAGAGAAACTAATGGGCAGTGAAATTAAGAAAAATTAAACACCGCTTTAAATAAATCAGAAGATAAAAGAGTCCTAAAAGCACAGTCATCTGCTGAGGTCTGGAACTGGAGAAATCTCATGTGTTTCTTTTCTGGCAGAAAAGCTAGAAGATGGTACCAGTTACAGCAGCAACGTAATGCTCTCTGTTGTAGCAGTAGCTTGGGAAATTACCAAATAGCAGCTACTAGAGCAGTACTCTTTAAAGTTTGCTGTTCTGACTAACTTGCTTTCAGGGATTCTAAAAGGACTGGCTGAGCAGCACTCTCTGGGTCATAAACGCTAATTTAAAAATAATTTTTTTTAAAGAAAAGCATACATAATGACTTAGACTGAAAAAATGTTGTGTGTTACTCATAAGGAAGTAAGCCAATTTCAAGTTTAATTGGGCAAGCTAGAACACTAACTGCAATCTGATGTTTGCTTCCAGTAAAATAATGTAATAGCTGATATGTATTGTTTTGTTCATGATTTGAGCGGGTGTTAATTGTAATATTCAGTCTGTACTGATTTTTTAAAAATCATTCTTTTCTAACAGTGTGATTTTCTGGTGTTGCTGTAATTTTACTTGATAAAGGTAAAACTGTTGGTATGTCTTGCATGTTTATTGCAGTGAAGTTGTGCCACAGGTCATGGGAATAAACAGGTAGGATGATTCAGTGTGTCACACACACACTGTTGGAGTGAGTCCAGAGGAGGACTGTGAAGATCAGACGGCTGGAGAACCTCCTGTGAAGACAGGCTGAGAGTTGGGGTTGTTCAGCCTGGAGAAGAGAAGACTCTGGGAAAACCCTATTGTTGCCTTTCAGTACTTGAAGGAGACTTGTAAGAAGGCTGGGGACAAACTTTTTAGAGGGGCCTGTAGGAACAGGACAAGGGGGAATGGCTTTAAACTGGAATAGGATAGATTTAGATTAGATATTAGGGAGAAATTCTTTACTGTGAGGATGGTGAGACACTGGAACAGGTCGCTCAGAGAAGCTGTGGCTGCCCCATCACTTTAAATATTCAAGGCCAGATTGGATGGGGTTTTGAGCAGCCTCATCTAGTGGAAGGTGTTCCTGCCTATGGCAGTGGGATTGGAACTAGATGATCTTTAAGTCCTTTTCAGCCCAAGTCATTCTATGATTCAATGCATAAAGAAAAACCTGACTAAATAAAAGGTCACATTTTTTTGTGACAACAGAAGGAGAGCCATTGCTGATAATTGTAGTAGTGTCAGCTGGGAATAGTTTTTTTGGCTTGATGCTATCAAGTGGCAGGAGTGAGTCTCTTCTCTCATTTAACAAGTGATAGGATGTGAGGAAATGCCTTCAAGTTGCACCAGAGGTGTTTTAGATTGGATATTAGGAAAAATTTCCTCACTGAAAGAGTTATCAAACATTGGAAGAAATTGCCCAGAGAAGTGGCTAAGTCTCCTTTGCTGGAAGATGTTTAAAAGACACGTAGCTGTGGCACTTAAGGTTGTGGTTTATTGGTGGACTTGGCAATACTAAGTTTATGGTTGGATTTGATGATTTTAAAGGTTGTTTCCAGCCTAAATGATTCTGTGATTTAGTGATGGACTTGACAGTGCTAGATTTACATTGGGCTCGATGATCGTGGAGGTCATTTGCAGCCAAAATGATCCTTTGATTTTAAGTTTGTTGGTGTCCTGGAAGAAAACCCATGAAATTGGGTTATGTTTGTGGACAACATAAAGTCTGGGCAAGTGGCAAGTAATGAAAAGAGGTGAGTCAGTGGTGGAGTTGGGATTGAATGTGTGCTGAGTGAGACAATGAGGAGGTGTGTGAAAGCCTTAAAGCAGTCATCTAGTCTCAGGGCAGGTGGGAGGGCTGACAGGATGCATGGTGGCCTGGGAGCTGTCGCAGGAGCGAGAGCTCTTACAGCAGCACGGCAGCTCACCAAAAACAGAACCCAAGCTGGGCACAGTTGGCAGAAAGTAAGTGCATTACTTGGACACAAGCATGGATATCCAGAGCAGGGCCAGGGAGGGTGTTATCTTGGTGCAAGGTGCTGCTCCTGCCAGCACAGGAGTGCTGTGGCCAGTGCTGCACAGGAATGTTGCTGATAAGTTAGAGGGAGTTCAGGGGGCACCATGAGAAGGGAGGGCTGCAAAATGTGCCATACAGTAAAATATGGAGCTTTGTGTGTAAAATAAACACTGTGTTTCTTCCCTTTTTTTCCCCCCTTGTTTGGAGATATGCTGTGATTTAGCCTGAAGTTCACTGAAGGAAGCACAGTGACCTGCCGTGGCAGAAGGTCAGACTGTGTCGTCACAGGGTTTCTCTTGCTCTGTAAGTCTCCATGAGGCAAGAGTGGGAAAGGAAAAGCCACTTTATCTTCAGAGACAGATGTCTGTAACTTTTCCTACAGAAGCCTTGGGGGATATGGGTGTTTTAACTCCAGGTGTCCTGTCTTCCAGGTGTCCAAAATGGAAGTAGTTGGTTGTTCTGATTGAGAGCATCTGCCCTGCAGCCAGCATCCACCTTTCCTGTGCCAGTATAGGCCCCACAGCTAACTAGCTCTGGGGCACCTGTCTCTTCTTGTCTTTTAACATTTTCTCCCTCCCCAAGCTTTTTCCCTCTTCAGCTACTTTACTGCAGACTTTCCAGAAAAGACTTCTCCTTTGGGAAGGGCAAGTAGGCCCTACCTGCACCACCAGCTGGTGCATAGGTACGGGACTGGAGAGCTTCCCTCTTGCTCCAGAGAGCACAGACAAGGGACTCAGCTTGCCAAAATAATGAGCCCCTCTTTGCCCTTAGTATCGCTTTCCTTCTGAATGATGGTGGTAATTCTGAAAGAAAACGTGTTTTGTTTTTGGCATTCTGTACAGGCTTAAAAGTGCATGTGTTTGCCTGTGTCTAGTACTTACGCTGAGGCTTTGCTTTCAGACCACTATATGAATATTAAGTAATGCTCCTTGATACAGCCCTGATAAATGTCTTTCAGGGTGCACATTGACATGTGAGAAGTGGGACTGGAAGAACTATTCATTTGTTCCCTGGCACAAAGAGGAGCCAGAAAGGTTGGGGATAGTCTTCTTGCTGTAAACAGAGCAGAAATGAAGATCAGACTTCCATGGTGTTCAGCCCCATACAAGCATGTGTGGAATAAAAAAATTCCTGTCTTCAGGGTTTTATGAGCTTAGAACTTGAATTTAGGAATGCCCTGAGCTGAGTCATGATGGGGATGGGCTCTTCCACCAGCTCCCCCAACAGAATGGGTCTGATCAGCTGCTTAGGCCCTTCCAACAGCACTGCAGGTGTGCAGGATAACAAAGCATGTCATCCAGCAGTGGACATGGAAAGGGTGATCCCAGGGGGCTTTGGGGGGAGCAGTGTGAAATCTGTCTGATCTGGTATGGTACTTGAGAGCAGCCAGTTCATGTGCTTTGGAGGAAATCTTAAGATGAATGCAATGAAGTGACAAGCACTCAGCTTTATTACTCTTCTCAAGCTGGGATGCTCTTAAGCTTAGTGGCCCTTCCAAAAATCTAAATTAAACCCATTCCGAATTATCATCACTTGACACATCTATATTTTCTCTTCAGCACCATCCCATGATGGGATGAGGAGGGAAGTGTTATCATTTTAGAGCTTGCTGTCCTTAGACATCATTAAGTGACTGTTGATTCTGTGATTCTGTGAAGTGGCTCCTGGCTCTTTTGTTGAGCAAAGGGAGAGGCATTTTCACTACAACAGACTCATGTGCCAAAGGGGTGGCTCAGTTCTGGACCTTGCAAAGGACAGGAAGATTGAGACCATAATTTGTGCAATCTTGGTGGAATCCTGAAGGGCACTGTAGGCACTTACCTGTTTGTTAGAGGTGTCTAGAGCACATGGAAAGCTCCATCCACAGGGGTGTAGTACACTGCACTCTGTTCCCAGATGGAAACTGGCATATGTTATGTCCGTAGACAGATCCTGGTTCAGTGCCACAGTCTGTATTCCTCTTTATTGTCGTTCTGTCCCCAAAGACATGCTCTGAGGTAGTGGTGCTCCATGTTGCCATAACATATCACACCCATCAGTCTTAAATTCCAAATGCAACATTTTTAATGGGCACTGTGAAGCATACTTCAGATTCTCCATGCCTCAGGTTGCTCTGTGGTGTTTCATGCTCTTCATCTGACCTAGAGCTGAACTGCTTTTCCCTCCCCAGCCCTGGAAGACTTTTCCACCTACATGCATGTGTAGGTGCTCCAGTGTGTGATGGCAGCTCTTGGTGCCAGGAGGGTGCCTGCTCTGCTGGCTGTATCCTGGCCTGGGAGAGGAAGCATGTGATTTCCTGATGCTCATACTTCTCCTCCCTTCCTTCATTCCCTTTCAGAACATGAGTGAGAACTTGAAGGACTGTTTGATCCAGACCCAAGCTTCCTTAGGTGAGATGGTGACGATAAAAACAGAGGCCTGCTCTCCTTGCCGGGACCAGGAGTATGGACAGCCTTGGTATGTGGTTGAGCTTCAGACTGATGTACTCCTTCTCTCCACCTACCCCCCAGCTGGTTTTGGGGAATATACTTGAACTTCTTGAAGTTAGTAAAGCCCTCCCTTGTGAGGTCAGCCTTGGAGTGTTTGACAAGGGTGCTCACCTACTAGTGCACCTACTCTAGATGAAACCACTACCTGCTGTAGGCTTTAACCTTAAGCCATCTCAGATACTAGCTTTTGGCAGGTTGGATGGCAAGTTGAATTATTTCTCTGCTGCAGTTTTAGGACTAAAGAAGTTTGTCAGGCCCCATTGCCTCAGCTCCTCTCTGTGTGCAGTCCCAATGTCTTGGTAGGTTAAGATCATCTTTCTGTCGTTTCCTCCTCAGCTCTGGAAGGCCTGACCCACAGTCCATAGAGATGGAGCCCAAGAAACTGAAAGGGAAACGGGATTTAATCATGACCAAGAGCTTTCAGCAAGTGGATTTCTGGTGTAAGTATATTGTGAGTGAGGGAAAAGCACCACTGCTGCTTGTATAGACTTTGGTCTGTCCCTGCTGGTACCCTACTGGTTTGGGGCAAGAAGCAGGGAAAAAAGAAGCCAGGGACAAATTTACATGCTCTCCTGCAAAGACCGGCACATTTAAAAGAGAAGCTGTTGCACAAAATCAGCTTGTCCATGAAGGGGTTATGCAGAGGTAGGGAACTAGGTGGAAAGTAAGCTGGAAACATGAAAACACACATTGGAAAATCCTGAGAGTCTGCAAAAACTGAAGACTTGAATTCACAGACTGCAAAGGGAGCACTGTGCAAACAACAACTCTTTCCCCTATAGTCTGGAAAAGAAAACTGCTGCCACTTATGCATACCTACAAAAAAGCAGACCTGCATCCCTGTCTGGACACAGGGAAAGTGCCTGGGGATGCTGTCTCTCTCCCAAGCACAGAATGAAGGCTGTAGTATGAGGGATGTTTGTTTTAGCTCCCTCTTTGGCGTGTGGGGAATCAAATCTTGGTTGGAGGACTTAGCTGCTAACCAGGGATGTGCAGGAACCTCCAGCCTCTGTCTCTGCAGGCAGTGACGGGGCCTTTCCCTGTGCATGCAGCCATCAGTGGCAAATGTGTGTAGAGCATCAGGGTTTATGCAAATGCATGTGTTGGTTAGGCAGGTGTGGGTTGGGGCAGAACCCTTGCTGAGAGATGTGGAGAAACAAACCAGTGAAGTGACTGCATGTGTGGATACTGGAGAGGGGGCTCAGCTTGGCAGGGGGAAGGACAGGGAGCTGGCCTGAGCACTGTGCATCCCGTGCATTGCGTGAACTGCACAGACATCACGTGTGCCCAACCTAACCCTGGTTCCCTTTGCATCTGCAGTCTGCGAGTCCTGCCAGGAGTACTTCGTGGATGAGTGTCCGAACCATGGCCCCCCAGTGTTTGTGTCTGACACGCCAGTGCCTGTTGGCATTCCTGACCGGGCAGCGCTGACCATCCCTCCTGGAATGGAGGTGGTTAAAGAGCCCAGTGGGGAGAACGATGTGCGCTGTATGAATGAGGTGATCCCCAAAGGTCACATCTTCGGGCCGTACGAAGGGCAGATCTCTAGCCAGGACAGGTCTGCAGGATTCTTCTCGTGGCTGGTGAGTGACGAGTCTCCCCAACTAAGTGACACCTCAGCCATACAGCTCAGAGCTGGGGGAGTTATGGGCTTGTGGTGCCAAACTTTAGCCATCTTCCCCCTTCTCTGAAGGTCTTCTGCTGACCCACATGTGCACGACGCAACCATCGACCTACCAGAAATATTAGCAACTTAAGGGTATAGATATGTGAAAGGAGACCAGGTGCCATGACATCTGAGTTCAGTTCACAGTTGTAGGAAGAAGAACTTGCTTCTGCTCTCTCTCTTGCCAAGAACCGTGTTCTTCCATCCCCACTCAGTCTAGGTGTCCTCTAGTACCTTTCTCTGCTCTGGTCATCATTTTGATGATAGAGGAAGGATTCTATCTAGAGATTGCAGAGCTCTCTCATGGGCCTAGAGCACTCTCTTCCAGATTGCCTGAGCAGAGGAGATGGCCAAGAGGGCAGAAAAGAGATCCAATCCATCAGGAACCGATCTACGTGCAGACTCCAGCACCAAACCCTGTATTTTTTCCCCTCATACAGGCCTTGGGTAGCATATGAGATAGACCTGTCACTGGATCAACAGATGTTAATTATTATGAGAAATGCAATGTGGGATTTGAGTTATAGGTGGGGAAAAAACTGAGAGCTGCTGATATTAAATGCTCCTCATACTTCTCCATTTGTAAAATAAATGTGTCTCAGCCCTGTCCTGAAAGGGAAGTTAATCTTTTATTTCTTGGGATTGTTAGCAATTTTGTTAGCTGCATCCATGGTTTTGTTACAGATATCTGTACATAGAAAATGCCTCTTAGTTCAGAGTAGCCTCCACACACACATTCAGGTCAGCAGCCTGTTAGTACCAGGAAAGCTGAGATTGATGACAGAGTTTCACATCTTGACTTAGGGCTGGAACTGAAGCAGCGATCTGAGATTCATATACGTTCTTCTGCCTTGACCTGTTGGTTGACGTGCTGCATCTGTTCTCTTGTTCCATAGATTGTTGATAAGAACAACCGCTACAAATCCATTGATGGGACAGATGAAACCAAAGCAAACTGGATGAGGTGAGTCCAGTTCTCTTCTGCCTTTCCTTTTGGGGCTCTGTCTTCAAGAGAGAGGCCATCAAACACTACTTGTTGTTTGTCAGAAAAAAACCCCAAAATATCACCACCCGTTTTGTAAATGGTGTGCTTGTGCTCTTTCGGTATTTATTTTAATGAGTATCCTTTGGTGTCAGATTCCTTTAGAAAGGATCTAAAACAGGACATAGATGTGTGTATGGAGGGATGACTGTTTTCTGGAATAAGGATAAATGATAAAGATGATCCTATTTATCTACTCTTAAAAATGCTGACAGGTCTTACTCCATTTTTTTATTTTTTTTTTTTTTATGTTATGTTCAAATATTTGCAAAATGCTTTGCATTATCCCCAGGGTAACATTTGATTTGGTTTGGGTTTTTTTGTTCCTTCCTATTTGAAAGAGACTGAAAGAGGTGCTTTTTTTGTTTTCTTTCTGGGCTTCACTTGAAACAGCTGTCTGTGGTGGTTGTCATTTGGCAGTGTCAGCTGTCCTGTGCGAGGAGAAAGGCAAAAAGAGTGAGCTGCAGCAGCACCAAAGGCAGACCTGATGCATGGGCTTGCGCTCCCTCTGCCGGCCCCGCGCCTTGGCAGAGCAGGGTCTCAGTACTGAGCCAGGAGTGGGGCTGGCTCTGGTTTGGGAACTGCAGCAGGAAGGGAAAGTGTGTAACCATGACGCAGTGTTTCAAGTGCTGGCATATATCTGTAAAATGTAGGTCACTGAGGCCTCATATGTGTGGTATGTCACCAGAACAGGACATTGCTCTATACCGAGGCCTGTCCCACATTCAGACCAATCCTGTTTTTAGGGGTGAATTTTGGAAGCAGTTATTTTCAAGAAGACGTTTCCTAGAGAGTAAAACAGTGTGGAATTACCTGGTTTGTCAGCCTGGATGTCTAGGATTTTCAGCTGTCACTCACTGAAGGAACAAAGAGTGTAAAGTACAGGTAGATGCAAGATTGACCTAATTGGTCATATGTGGTTGCACTACTTTTGCTCCATTTGAGTCTTTACATGGATAGCAGCTGTTCTGTCATTTGTGTTCTTTAAGTTCAGCAAAGGATTTAATTTTTCTGCATGACAGTGAAGCTGGGGCAAAACAGTCTTGGAAAGCAAAAATTCTATGATGATCTCTTTTTTCTACTGCCATGAACATAAGCTTGATATCTGGATTTAAATGGGCACTACTTGTGGTCCTAGCACTGAAAAGCAGAATGTTCTTGCCTGAACTTGTATTTGCCATGATTCAGTCTCAAGATGAGCGTGGTCTGTGCTGTTCTGTACAACCTTGAAAGGCAAGGAGGTTATGGCTTTGCAGAAGGGGTATGTTTGCAACTCTTCTGGAAACGGGTGTACCGAAGGACCTGTGCAGGTTATACCAGTAAAATCCTTCTGATTTTACTCTTGAAAATTTTACTCTTGAAAATTTTACTCTTGAAAATTGCTTCTAACAGTAGTATTATGTAGAGTGTCACTGACAGTTCACGTGGCAATAGAGGTCCTCAAAAAGCCTCAATTTGGTTTGTTAGCACTTTTCAAACTGAGGTGTGCTTGGTATCCTATGCCAGAACATCACCTGACACTGAGATTGCTCACAGAAACCATACTTTCAGGACGCTGTAGACAGCGCTCTTTTTGTTTTTCAGATGGTGCTCTTTGCTATCACTCACAGATGGAGTGCTTTGCAAAGTAGATCTACTCACCCTCTGAGTAGGTGGGTATGGTGTGGGGAGGGCACCTTGTGCTGACTCCTCTCTCTTCTTGTAGATCTCTGCCTATTATTTTTGTTGTTTGAATACCACATCTGAGCCCATTTTCATTTTCCCACTGAGGATAATATGTACACTGCAGCACTTGCTGGTTTAATTTCAAGTGACTGTTTACCCAGGGCAGTGGATGACAGGGAGGAAGGAGTTTGAAGCACAGCAGGTGGCATGACAATGGTAGAATCCTCGTACCCTTTCTCTCGTCGTTCAGTTAGCCAGTGTGAACTCCTGATGCTGGGAGCATGTTCTCCTAAGCTGGATGCTGGCAGAAAAATAATGCACCCTTCATCTCTGTCCAGAGTAAAATGCTGTTGTTTGCAATACTTTATAAAACTGCATGGCTTTGATTTGTGCAAACGTCCTCCTCTGTTTTTATTTTTCTGGGCACTGATTATCATGGATTGCAGCAAACCCCAAATAAAATTAATGCTTTCTTGGACACAACCTGTAAATTGCTTCTGATGGGAGTTCTTGGAGCTTCTGAAGGGTTGCAGAGAACCATCCGTTTTCGTGATTGCTTCTGAGGAAATTCTGTTATTTAGTTGTTACTGTTCTCTAGAAATAATGGATATGAACAAAAAATTAAAGTAATTCAGAAAGTCCAGGAAACATTGCTCTGTTGATGTGTCACTTGGCCCAGACTGAGATGCAGGATAGGAAGTACCAGCAAACTGATGGTGCCCAACTGAACTATTGGAGTGCAGTGCCTCATATTTGGGTTTCCAGGCTAGTTTAGGCATTTATAGTCTGTATCCCTTCTTACATGTGAGTACCTGAGTTCTTAGGCTTTTGGCACAGTTCAGATTTATCCTTTCTCATATGAAAAGTCTGGTGCAAGTCTTCCTCACTTCTTTTTCCTTTGTCTTCCTTTCTGCCATCTTTCCTCTCCAAGCATAGTAACAAAGAGGTCATGGGGAGCCAGACTGTTCTATAAATCTTCCTGTATCCTTATAGTGGAGATGTCTGTGATTTGATCTTCATACAGTAATAAAGCCTGGAAGGGAGCTCTGGTCGAGTACTCCAGCAGCCTGCTTAAAGCAGGACCAACTTAGATCAGTAGATCCTTTAAGTACTAAACTGCTGTTTCAACTTTACAGGACCTTTTAAAAATAAACATTAAAAAAAGTCAGGGTTACTGTGACTGCCCATGTGTTCAGGGTGAGTAAAAGTCACCAGTTTATGAATGTCATTTTGTTGAACTTCATAAACTGATTTCTGTTACCTTGCAGCAAATGGAGCAAATGTTCTTATCCACTGCAAATTTATGCAGAGCAAAAGGATCCTAAAGTACTGTGATCCCTGTAAAAAAAACCAAAAAGGCCCTGGGAAAAGTTACATACTTGTTTCTTAGAGGCCAAGAACAGTGGAGTTGGTTGATATTTTTTGTGGGGTGATCATTAAGTGCCCACTCTTCAGGTAGTTTACAATGTCAATTGTTTTTAAAGAAATAGCTGTATTGTTTTGCACCACAGATTGACCTGGGCTGAGGTGTGAATTCACAGCCTCACAGCTGGGATTCCTCTGGAACTTGCTAAAACACCCCGCATGGCAACCCAGAGAGGTGCTTGCAAATATTGGTGACTGTCTCTAGGGACATACTGCATGCTAGAGGAAATGCATGAGGGGAAACAGATCTCTCTGCTAGTAATACTGTCTGCATTTTTATAAGGAGGAGGTAAATGTGCCTGCTAGGAACCTAACATTAATTGAATTTGTGATTAAAACTGACCAGAGTTCATTACTCTCTCTGTGGCAAGTTTGCTATTGGAATCCGTTAAGTTGTCTTAGATGCTGGAGCAAATGAATGGAAACTCTGAAATCTGAATATCTGGACCTACCACAGGCTGTCCTAAATGCACTTGATGGGATACCCTGTCTGGGAAGAGCAAAAAAGCTCTGATTCCCAAACAGTTCAGTTTTGCTAGTGACAGTAGCCGTGAATTCAGCGAGAAGAGGGTGTGTCAGGTTTCCTGACCCTGCAGCTAGCTCTGGGGAGACTTCTGTTCTGCAAGCTCACTGCTACCCAGGAGCACTTTGCAAAATATTGTTACTTTTCACCAGAGCAGCTTGTTTCTGCCACATGGAGGTTTGTTTCTGCCGCATGGAGGCACTGATGATACTGTGCAGTCATGAGTACCTGCTGAGAATATACACGAAGCCCAGTTTGGCTGAATGTGATAAAAATCATAGTGTGAATATTCCCTTGCTCAATGTTCCGAGTAGCCTTTTCCCTCTTTCCAGTGTTCAGCTGGGAGAACTCCTTTTTCCTTTTAATTTGGTGAGGGGTTTTTGTTGGTTTTTTTTGAGGTCAGTGTAGCAAGTGCTTTGCTGGCTTTTCATCTTTCATTGCCATCTTCTCTAAACGCTCCTTCTTCCTCTCTATAAATGAAGCTCCACCAAAACAGTATCTCAAGCATGCATTTATGTCTGTTCCAAAGAAATACATCTGTGCACTTAGGTCCCAGCTTTCCCTGTGTATGACCTCGATTTGAGCAGCTTTTCCTACTGGTTTTCCAGCTTTAACCAAGCTTCTGACACTTTCCCCAATGGAGGGCAGCAGCATTAGTGAGACTGATTAAACGACAGTGTTAACAGCACGGAGGAGAAAATAGAACAACAACCGACAAGGGTCATTGCCTTTCTGTAGGTTTTTCTTACTCTGCAGCCCACAAGCACCTTTCAGAGGAGTGCATCCTAAACGACTTATCTTGCGCTGGGCCACGGCAGTGCTTAGAGGCATCTATCTCTGAGGAGGCACCAGCAGGGCCATCACAAATGTGGAGCCTTCACTTATACCAGTTTTTCAGAAAGTACTACAGGTGGGTTTTCTGCCTGCACGGAGGGCAGTTGGCCAAGATCTTACGATTAAATGTATTTCTTCGAAAGGGGAGGGTCTAAGCTAGCCCAGCCAGAATTTATTCCCCTAACATTGCAATAATACTAACAATAGATCCCAAATTAAATGAAATCAAACGTTCTGTCTACTAGTAGTAGCATCTTTGGTTTCATTTAATTTGGGGCCATAAGCCGAAAGAAACTGAACACATTGAGAAACCAATAGGTTTTCCCGCCCATGGTGTCACTTCAGAGATACAGTTGATAGGTGTCATAACCATTAAGATATACTTCTTGTATGTGGCCTCTGATCTCCTCTGTGCTGTGCTGCATACATATACACAGATGTCCATTGCCCAGGCTGCAGATTATTCCTCTGTCTG